ATTCTCAAGAATCATTTTATACAATTCAGGATCACTATTCTTTACTCCTAAACTATCTATCTTTTTGAGTAATACCCAGGTTTGCTCCTTATTCAAAAGTTTTAAAGTATTCTTTAATTCATCTAAATTATTTTTATTTGGTTTATTATTACTTTATTATTATTCATCAAATGACCCAACAACTGATTTACCATATTATCCCTCGAGATATTTTTTGCTTTACTAGTACTAGTCACATGATCTACCAACTTACTCATCACATTAATATTACTGGTGATCATCATCTTGATCAAATCGTCCTAATTTTGCAACCTCTTGTTATAATTGGTCTACATAGAGTCAATAACCTTTCTATACGCATCATGTGTATCTTTTGATTTTTTTACATCATTATTGTTCATAGTTTTTACAACATTAGCATGATTTCTACTCAAACTCATCACCACCTTTGTTTAATTATCGCTTAACTTCTTGATGACTTCTTTATGATTATCACTTAGATTCTTGATAGTCTTCTCATGTGAATTGGTTAAATTTTTTACGGTCTTTTTCTGATTATTACTTATAGATTTAATAAGCTTCGCATTATCATTATTTAGTTTTTGTATTGATTTATTTTGTTGGGTTGTCAAAGTTTCTACAATCTCCTTTTGTTTAGCCACAAGAGTCTCGACAGTTTTTGCATTTGTATAATTAGCATACTTTGATATAGCAGTGTTGGAAGAAGCAACCACACCAGAATGTCCACGCTCATAATTACCACCAGAAGTAGCGATATCGGAGCTTTTTAACTGTTCTTTTTTTTAGGAGGTTTATTAGATGATCTTGCTTTTTTTAAAAAATTTAAATTATATCTTTCTTTAATATTATATTTTATTTAAAAATTTATTTATCATAACAATAACACATATATATGTTGTGCCTCAGATTAATGCTTGCGTCAGATGTCAACTTTTTGGCCTGCATTAACTGATCGATATTGATTGACTTAAATTAAGCCCAAATCCTTCCCAGATTCTTACTCTAACCCTAATCTAACTTAGGCTGGTTTTAATCTGACGCAAGAATTGATCTGAGGCATAACATATATATTTTTTTTAATTTGGCAATCTTGCCAACACTTTATTAGGCTTTGTAAATTTTAATATATTGAATACAAAATCCTTAAGTACTTAATCTACTTGATGTCTAACTTACAAATGTCAACTCATCCGGTTGCTCAGAGAATACCTATCCCTTAATTGGTAAAGATTTGCAAGCAAATTTGGCTGCATAATTACTATAAATATGTCTACTTGTTTAATTATTTAAAATATTTAAATAAAATTTAATATGATAATATTTGAAAATAAGGATTATATTTTTGTAGAATTTG